GTGCCCGCGGGAGCCCGGGAGAGCCCCGGCGGAGGGCTCGGCCATGCCCTTCGCCAAGCGGACCGTGGAGCCGCAGCGGCTGTGCCGGCGGCAGCCCGCCGCCTCCGTGCTGGAGGAAAGCTGGGGCGCCGAGCCGCCGCCGCGGGACCCGCCGCCGGAGGAGCCGGGGACGGCGGGCGAGGGCGCGGAGGCGGCCGGCGGCGGCGGGGAGAGGGAGGCGGCGGCGGTGCTGATGGTGCTGGACCTGTGCTCGGTCAGCAACGTGGCCCTGTCGCGGATCCTCCGGCAGCTCTCCGACGTGGCCCGGCACGCCTGCACCCTCTTCCAGGAGGTCGAGGCTGACATCCAGGGCACCCACCGCCGCGTCCGGGCGCTGCACGGCCGCATCGCCGGTCTCCAGGGGGCCGTGCGCGGCCTCGACCCCAAGCAGGAGGCAGTGCGTAAGTACCGCGGGACGGTGGGGTGATGGATGGGGCGCTCCGCACCCTGCGGAGCCCGGCGGGGGGAAGGTTACCCCTCACTCCCCCTCCCCGGTAACCCGCAAAGTTTGGGGCGGCGGGGTGGGTAGGGGTCGGGGTCTGGTCGGTTCGGTTCGGTGGGCGCCGCCGGGAGCCGCGGCGATGCTGGCGGGAGGGATGATGTCAGTGGTTTGTGCCTTTACATAAGGAGCTGGCTGGCGGGGCTCTCGGGGCGCATCTTCTGCAGGGGAGGGGACCGAGGTCTGGCTGTGTGTCCGCGGGGCCCCCGGGAGGTGGTGGTGGTGGGGATTTGGGGGGGGGGGATGATCCCCCGACCCCGGGCATCTTTGGGTTTTCTCCCTTTGCCGGCCTGTCCCCCTTCCCGGACAGATTTGTCTTCCCCCTAGAAGTGATTCCGACTTCCCGGTAGAAATGTTAAGCTCTTCAGTAGAAATAATCAAGCTGCTTCGTCGTTAGCCAACTTTCGTGGCCATAAAATAAGGAAGTTTGGTTAATGACTTCTTTCTGTTTAAAGAGTGGCCCTGAAGAGCCGGGCGGGGGGGGAGAGAGGGAGCGGGGAGGAGAGGAAAAGATCAAGGCAATATGCGACTTGTGTTATGAGCCGTAAGTGCTTGAATCCTGCTTCTTCTCCACCCAAACTGTAAAAGCAGTGACAGGCTCCGTAGCCCTAACAGCTGCTGATTTCTGCTGAATATGGCTCGCGGTCACAGCAGTGTAATGATTTTGTACTCTCACGGGTGCGTATGCTTCTCAAGTGCTTGTGAATATTTGTTTTTTTGATAGGTAGGGCTGTAGATTGGAAGTCTGGAACAGCAGAGATTGGTGTCGATCCTGTCCTCTTAATATCTGGCTTAGGAAAAGCGATAGCTTCAAAGAAGTTTTTGCCTTCTGCTATTCCCCTCTAAATCACGAGTACCTCCAGTGGGTACAGCGAAGTGAATTTACACTGGGGTAACTGATAACATGCCCTCTTCTAGGTGTTTTTAATGAATGTCTGTTTTAAAAATTGTGCTCTGGGTTTTCTCCCCTTTGGAGCGGTGTGGAAATATTAGCAACTCTTCTAGGATCAGCGCAGCTGTACTGATTAACAGAATCAAGCCTTAAGTATTCTGCGGTATTTAAATGACATCCTCGGCAGCTGTAGAGTGACTTTGTTGACGATACGTTAATATACATCAACTGTAGATCAGACCAAGGGAGGCTCTCTGTGGTTTCAGGACGAGCGTGTAATCAGAGCAGAGTGCCGGGCTGTGATTGGAAACTGCGGTGAGAAGGAGGCTTGGCCGATGGAGTGAGGGAACTGTCTGAGGAAATGAAACTCCTTGTATCACATTCTCATCTGTAAGTCTTTTGAGCTGAGGAGCTGTGGGTATATACTAATGTAAGCGAGAGCAGAGCTTAGCCTTTCTAATCCCTACAGCTTTTTTTTTTCTTTCTGGATTGTGCAAGTGCAGCTTGTTTTCAAATCACAGTGCAAAACCTTGATATTACAGCACAGTTATGTCATATGCTTAATTAGAGGGTCTGGCTTTACCCCTGTGATGATAAATGCAGAATCCGCTTTTTTGGTTTTCTTCTGTTTCTTTCAAATCCTTCTCTCTTCTGGGAGCAGAGAGACTTTTGGTCACGATCTTCCCCGTATCTGCCCGCTGTTCCTCCTCCCCCTTGTATCCAGTACGATGTACAGCACAGAGCTGCAGGTGTCTCTGGGTCTGGCCAGCCAAGGGCTCCTCCACAATGTCAATCTTTGCCACTGCCCATTCTCCAGTAGGCGTGTGCCTTGCCTCCAGCTATACAGCTGCTCACAGGCACATTGCCCAGTCCCCGTGGCTTCTCCCCATGTGGTATCGTACTACCTGTGCCTTAAAGGTGAAAGGCTCCATACCGAGCCAAATGTGCACGAGCAGTCGACTTCTTTGCGTGCTCCAGCTGCCCATCCAGTGTTGGACCAGCACAGCTGCATTTGCATAGTGCTGCATCTGAACATCTCGACTGGGACGTGGAGCTGAACAGCACCATTCTGCACATCTCCTCACATCCCCCCCAAGCCCATACACACATCCACGGCAACACCTCCCTTTGCCCTCCAGACTGCTCAGTGTTCCCAAGGGCCAGATAAAACTGCCTGGCAGCCCATCATCACTCTAGTGTATAACGATGGCTTGCTTTCTCCGTTCTGGGCTTACAGAACGGAGCTTACATTATTACTTACATTACTTACATTATTACTTTCAGCATTACTTTCTGGGCTTACATTATTACTTTCAGCAAGACTATGCTAATGTTTGTTTTAAGTATGAAGAGCCTACACAGGCCACTCCTGACAGTATTTCCCTCAAGTCACAGCAGCTAGTTGGTTTTCTGAAACCAACAGAGCAATCGTAGGTGGTCACAGGTCTGCCCAAGACCTTACCAGCATCACATTAAGGCATGCTGACCAGCACCAAAACATGGGAATGATGAGGTGGCCTCTGGGCTGTCTTTTGGCTGTCCAGCCCAAATGGCATATCTAAGACTAACTCAGAAGTGGCTGAAGGTTTGGACTCGCACAATGTGGAGCAAGTTGGTGACAGGCATGCAGCCCCTGCCACCCGTGTCATGACTGTAATGGTCACATTGAATCTGTTGGATATCAAGAGTCTGTAGGTGCTGGGCTACTTGGCGCCTTGACAGAGTCACCATGTGCTGGTATGTTAGCACCACAACAGTGCAGCCCAACCACACTTTTTTTTTTTTTTAAAGTACTCGGTTTAAAACTACTAGGCTGCCTTGCCACAGTGAGACATTCTTGATGTTCTAGCACCAAGTGCAGCACAGTGATTTGAGAATAATGCTACCAGACATGCCCTAGATACTGAGCTGTGACATTGGAAGGCCTTTTTTCTCCATGCCTCATAAGCCAGCTGGATTCTGATACTCCCTTAGGAAGGCACAGTCTGGGTGAGGAAAAGGAAATAATGGGCTAAGGCCATCTTGGGAGCTACTGGAGCCAGTGGTTACAGAGGGGCTTCCCTTGTCCAAAATGCCATTCCTTGGCAATCGTAGAGATGATACCAAGGGAAAGGGGAGCAGGAAAGGAGCTCTCTTAAAAACAGCATATTGTACAACTTTGCATAATAATATATTTTATATTGAAAATGATGTATTGTTGTATTCAAATAAAACATCTATGTTGGGTTGAGGGAATATTAACAGAAAACTGAAATTAATTAAAACCAGCATTTTGCCAGTAACGCTTATCACTACCACTGTCGTTTTCATGAGGCTTTAACATTCTCAGCTCTGTTGCTATCAAAGTGATGAGCGTTTGCAAGACTGGGTATGCTTTGCTCTAAGAAGAGTACTTAAACTCCTCTGCTGAGCTACCGGTATTTACCTATGCGTTGCTCTTTTGTTTGTGCCACCGTTCTGAAAGCGTGATTGGGAAATCTTGTTAGGCACAATAAAGGACTGATTCTGGGCAGTTGCAAGCAGGTCATCTTCAAAAACTGAAGGTCCCTCGCCTCTGCCTTCCCAGATGCTGCTTGTCCTTTCATCTTTCTTATAAGCCTCTGGCCAGCTAGAGCCTTGCAAATATGAATCCTTTCCCACCCTCTGACTGGAAGAGAAACAAGGGTGAGAAATGTTTTCCTGCTCAGCTCCTGAACTAACTACTTTGCCCTTCTGCCACTGCAAGTACTTTACTGCTTTTCATCATGAGCAGCTCCAGGGTCTGCTTCTAAAGCAGAACCATGTGGGAATAACATGATTGTTGTCAGTCTGGCTGTTGCTTAGCGTTTTCTTATTACCAGCAAGAAAACTGAGAGGTGGTACTGCCCAGTTTTGTTATTAGATGCTTGATTATTTTGGTAATACAGAAATGTAGGAGAAGTGCTGGATTTGTGCGTAGACTTGGGACTCGGTGCCTTTGTTATTATTTGGAAAGATGTTTTCTCAGTCTAGGGGACTACAGATCTGGCAGTCTAAGTGGAATATTGTACTTTTCAGAAGCTGGTGATGTAAGCCATCTTGCTTTCTGAATAACCGGCAATGACCGGGCAGCAGGTTTTGAAAGCCCTAGTTAACGAGATCCTCTTTGCACCCTGGCATCCCAGAGAATTCCACGCATTCCAGGCTTTTTTTTTTTTTTTCTGAAAGCATCGATGTGTTACCAGTAGCCAATCTGTGTAAAAGCTGTATCGTTTCCAGCGGTTGCCTGCTGTATCTTCATTGCTCTAGTTTTCCATTCCTGATTTTCCTTCGTGCTGGCAGTGAGTGATACAGCCGCTCAGAAGCGTGGGGATCTCCCGTGTTATTCTGCTCCTCAGACGACGCCCCTGGATCTCCGCACTCAGCTCCCCTATAGATTTTTCTTCTTCCCTGAAGAGTCAGTATTGAGATAAAAAAGACAGCTGTGAACTCATTCTTTATCATTTTAGTCTCTGCATTAATTTATTCTGTTTGATTGAAGCTGGTTACTGAGAACAGCCTGGCCAGTTTCACTTTTGCTTTTAGTCTCTTTCATTGTGCTTTTTAGGTGGTTTTGTTTTGATTTTGTTTGGTTTGGGGTTTTTGTTTGGTTTTTGTTTTTTACACACTGACATAATGCTCTTCTGTTGGGGTTTTGAGCACTGTGGGGAAATGTTTAATCAATTGTAAGGTTTTTATGTGCCTTCTGCCACAATCCCACCACTTCTACAAAACATATGTTGGACCCAAAGCTCATCAGATAATACCTCTCCTCCTTGACTTAACGTGCTGAAGTCTCAATTGCTGCTGAAACGGAATCTGGACACTTTGATGCTTCCATCTCAGGATATGATTGCATCGTAAGGCTGTCCCAGGTTAACTGTTGGTGAGCATCCTTGCACAGATCTTCAGGCAGGTACACGAGACCTTAAGAGTAGGTGCCATCTTGAAAGAAAAAAGAAGCAAGTTTAGGTTGGGCAGCTAAGTATTGCACTTTATCCCAGCTTCACAAA